CCTGAATACTCTCATGGGCTTTTCAGCCAGATCGGAATGCCTCTAGGGCTGATTTTGAGGCCAGAGTGCTGTTTAGGACATCTGCCATTCTATGGGTCTGCTGTGTATCTCACTTCCCATGTTGGATCGTTCTCTCCCTTTTTTATTCTATCAGCTAGTATTTGCAGACTGATAAGACTGAATTTTCTATATGGTTGTAAGAGATGGTCTTCAAAACAAGAAAAGGTCCCTTCCATATTTGTATGACTCCTGTTATCTCCATTAATCCTCAGAATAATATATCAACTATGAATTACCAAAAGATTACTGAAGAGGAAGCTAAAATTCAAAAAGAGGAAGTACATTAATTTTGCATAGCTGTTAAGTAGAAGTACTGCATTGTTGACACAAGGGCTGTCAGACTCCACATTTAATTTTCCTTGTACTTTACATTGTCATATGCAAAAGAATGTTCTCTTACACAGATATCCAAACTGTATTCTACTTTTCAATTATTTGACTATATACTAGTTCAGTTTTTCATAATTACTAAATAATGAAATATTTTCACTAACTACATTTAAGGAATTAATATCAGAGAAAAGGCATTTTATCTTTATAATGTGACCAATTCTACCTCCAAGCAAATAAACATTGCTATCTCTAGTTTTATTCCTCTTCTTTCCTTATTTTTTTCTTATTTTTTGGGCAGAGCATAGTTTAGTTATGTATATAAAGTCGTTCAAGATAAAGTTATAAAAATTCAAATAGCAGCCAGTGGTTGAAATGCTTGTTTCTTTTCCAAATCAATGAACTGTTGAACTATAACTTTGAAAAGAAGGGAAACTCAGATAAATAAAAGCTGAGAATTTATCACCACAAGACCTAACCTACAAAAAATAAACCAACATGAGCTCACTCAGAATGTGGGATCTAAAAGCAGATGATCTCATAGGAGTTAAAAATAAAATGGTGGTTGCCAGTGGCAGTAGAAGGAAGGAGAGAGGGTGGGATGAGGATAGGTAGATTGACAGATGCTGGATTACAGGAGTCAGAAATTAGGTGGTTCTACAATACTGTAGAGTTACTTTAGACCATGTGAATGTACTATACGTTTCTATAAAAGAACAAATAGAGTGAGTTTTGGTATGTTCACTATAAAGAAATATTAAATGCTTGAATGGATAAATGAGTTTACAGTAATCGGATATTATACCATGCATGCATATAGTGAAGCATCACATAGTACTGTATAAAGGTGTATAATTTTTGAAAAGATTTATTTATTTATTTATTTGAAAGATCCATATGGGATAGCAGCATTGCAGGTGCAGCTTAACACACTAGACCAGAATGCTGCTCCAAGATGTGTAATTTTTATATGTCTGTTAAAACTAAAAAGATAAGAATATATTATAAAAATAAGGCCGGCGCCGTGGCTCACTAGGCTAATTTGCCTTGTGGCGCCGGCACACCGGGCTCTAGTCCTGGTCGGGGTGCCAGATTCTGTCCCGGTTGCCCCTCTTCCAGGACAGCTCTCTGCTGTGGCCAGGGAGTGCAGTGGAGGATGGCCCAAGTGCTTGGGCCCTGCACCCCATGGGAGACCAGGATAAGTACCTGGCTCCTGCCATGGGATCAGCGTGGTGTGCCGGCCGCGGTGGCCATTGAGGGTGAACCAACGGCAAAGGAAGACCTTTCTCTCTGTCTCTCTGCCTGTCAAAAAAAAAAAAAATAGCTAGAAGTTAGGATTTCAAATTTACTAAATGTTTGAGAAAGAGATACACATAACCTAATTGGATATAATAAAATGTATGTATATATATAGCTATCTATAGCTATCTATCTCACATAGTAAGCCATAATTAATAAAAACTTAATGTTCAAAAATTTAAATATGACAGGCTTTGCAGTGAAGATGGCACTTGGGACACTCATATTTCAAATCAGAGTGCCTGGTTTGAGGTGCAGTGCAACTGCAAAATCCAGTTTCTTTCTAATGCACACTGTGGAAGGCAGAAGGTAATAGCTCTGATTTAGTTCCTTGAACTGTGCTTATACCTAGCCCAGTCCTGGCTATTATGGAGAATTAGGGAGTGAACCAACAGACGGGAGATTCTCTCTCTCTCTCTTCTTTTGATTCTCTGTCTCTCTGTCTTCCCCTCTGTCTTTCTTTTCTGTCTCAAATTAAATAACTTCTTTAAAACAAATAAATAGAAGTTTAAATAATGAAGGGAATTGCTTTTGTTAAAATTAATGTATGTATTTGAAAGACAGAGTTACGGAGAGAGGGAAAGATACAGAGAGATCTTCCATCCACTGCTCTATTTCTCAAATGGCAGCACCAGCCAGGGCTGGCCCAGGCAAAAGCCAGAAACCAAGAACTTCAACCAGGTCTCCCACATGGGTGCCAGGATCCCAAACACTTGGGCATCACTGGGATGCTTTTCCCAGGCCATTAGCAGAGAGTTAGATTGGAAGGGAAGAAGCTGGCCTTAACTAGTGTCCAAATGGATGCCGGCATACTACTTGGCAGCTTTATCCATTCCACCATGATGCCAATCCCTAAACAGAATACTTTAAGATGAAGGAAGAGACATTCATGGCTAAGCAGGCAGTCAGAAGGCACAAGACTCACTAATAAGAATAACCACACAAAATCACTGTGTACTAATTCTTCTATTGCAGTTATGCACAAGCTGTTCATATCTTTACTGTGAAGAGTAAGAAACAAAGCAATGAAAAATAGTATCTATCATAATATATAGAGATAGGTACCATAATAATACGTAAGTGGTATATCAAATATTCAAAATATAGGGAGCAATGGAGTACAAGTATGGAGTATTTCTTATTATTTTCTCTTTTTTGTTTGTCTATTTTACAATAAATGTTCAGTTGCTATCACTTCAAAATGTTGCATTATATTCAAAAGCTATTTTTTCTGAGCCACAGGATAACCACAAACACAGACACACCAAAAATGAGCAACAAAACAGTGTATTAGAAAAAAACCATTTAACCTCAGAAGTAGCTCAAAGGAACCATATAAACAAACAAAAATCCTAGATATTAAGAAAGTAAATGGGAGTGCTAACATATTATCTGTTGATAATTACCTTAAATGTAAATGGATTAAATTCTCCAATTTGAGAATATCAAGTGACTAAATGTATAATATAAAGAGACAATAGTGCATTCCTTAACTAAATCACTTCTTCTTGAATAACACATATATACTGAAAGTAAAGGAATAGAAAAAATGATATTCTGTGCAAATAGAATACAAAAATAAGTAGGAATGCCAGGTTTATATCAGATAAAATTGGCTTTACATCATAAGCAGTAATTAGAGAAAGGTAACGTCATTATATAATGATAAAGGTGCCTATTCAGCAAGAAGAAATAATTGAAATATACATGC